TGATAGAACACTACAGTACTTAGCTGCTCTTAACAAAGATTGGAAGCATTAATGTGTTTTGATAGCAACTCTCTCAATATCAGGAATTTTAGGAGCTGTAGTAAAAAAAATTAAGGTTTCCCACCTCTGAATAGAACCTTTGGAATCTGTGGTCTTTCTCTCCATGAAAGTGTACAGTGGTACCTCGACTTACGAACGTCCCTACTTACGACCATTTCGAGTTACGACCAGCTCCAGAAAAAGGCAGGGAAAAAAGGAGGGAAATTCAAATTGCTAACTGTAGGTGGCAACGAGGCTGCTTTTTGTAGCTCTTTCACCTCAGCAGTTAGAGAGTGTGCGATTGGAGGAGGCTTGGGACTGCCTCGCTTCTGCTTCTGAGTGAGCGTGTGTGTGTGTTTGCAGGGAGGCTTTGGGCTGCCTGGTAAAGTAAGGTGCTGTTTTCTGCTTTTTAAAAACTGTTCTGGGTGTTTTTGGAGCGTGGTTTTGGCCTGGGAGGTGTCTGTTTCTGTGTTATGATGGGTCTTGGGGAGTTTGTTTGTTGGGGTTTTCCCCCATTTCTGATGGGTCTTGGGGGGTTTGGTTGCTTTTTGGAGTGTTTTTTCCCGTTTCCGATGGCTCTTGGGGGGTTTGGTTGCTTTTGGGGTTCCCCCCATTTCCAATGGGTCTTGCATGCTTCCCTTGCTTTTTCCTTTGTTTTCTTTGCATTTCCGACCTGGTCCCTTTGTTTTCTCTGCATTTCTGATGGGTCTTGCACACTTGATTGCTTTTCTCTCTCTCCCCCCCCAAGTTTCCAATGAGTCTTGCAGTGATTTTTTGTGTGATTTTTTTTCTTCAGCTGGAATGGATTAATTGCATTTCAATGCATTCCTATGGGAAATGGTGCTTGGACCTATGACCATTCCGAGTTATGTACATCTTCTGGAATGGATTATGGTCATAAGTCGAGGCACCACTATACATGCAACCCCCTATGGATGGATCTTTGCAATTCAAGAGGATCACGGCAACCCCAAAGAACCGGAGGAAGGAAGGAGGATGGGATAATGTAATGTTGCCCTTGGAAATTTTCTTTTTACTAGTAGTAGAGGAACCGAAACCAATGCCTAGAGAGGAAATAACTGCGGCCTCCATAGAACCAGGAAGAGATGCTTATTCCTGAGCCATGCCAATCACCTTCCATGGGGTATCCTACCTGTGACCCCTCTCCCAAAGTCACAGGCCTTGGTTGCAATCCTAGACCTCCAGTTACCTGAGAGTTAAGTCCCGCTGAAATTAAAAGCATAAACTCCTTACTAGACAGGCGTAGGATTCTTCTCAGCTGTGCCCAGGCTCTGGAATTCCTTGCCAAGGGAGCAGTCAGAGATCTTTTTATTCAGGTGGCTGAAAGACATTAAGTAAAAATTATAACATTTTTACCCAATGTGTTTTCTTTTTTTAAACTAGAATTAGTATTTTTAGTAATCCATTTTAAAATATTTCAGTTTTAATATAATAAATTTATTCGTATTTTAATGTTTCTAATTATATTGTATTTGAATTTTCTTTTTGTTAAAAAAGCTGTTTGGAAAACCATCTTCAGTCCCAATTCTGAAAGAAAGACACCAAATCAATAAATCAATAAATCAATACATAAATCAATAGATCAACCAACCAACCAACCAATAAATCAATTAATTCTCAAACATGGCTGAGATGACGTATTTTAATGTTTCTAATTATATTGTATTTGAATTTTCTTTTTGTTAAAAAAGCTGTTTGGAAAACCATCTTCAGTCCCAATTCTGAAAGAAAGACACCAAATCAATAAATCAATAAATCAATACATAAATCATTAGATCAACCAACCAACCAATAAATCAATTAATTCTCAAACATGGCTGAGATGACATCATGTTTCAGCTGACATCATGGAAAATAGCAAGCGGGGGGGGGAGGGTGCTCTGTCCCCTCACCAAACAGCCAATGCCAGTAGAAGACAAAAGCTCCATAGATGCAGTTTAGAAAAAGTAATATCAAAGTAATATGACCAGAGCACAGGTTGCTGTCCTCTGAAGATGCCGGCCACAGAGACTGGCAAAACGTTAGGAAGAACAACCTTCAGAACACGGCTAAAGAGCCTGAAAAACCCAGAACAACCAATATCACAGTGGTTGAAATCCTGTTCTGCAGTTACACAAAGACCCAACTAGAGACAAGCAGGTACAGTGGACCCTCGACTTACGGAATTAATCTGTATCGGAACGGTGGCTGCAGGTCAAAAAGTCTGTAGGTCAAGTCTCCATTGACCTACAGTGCATTGAAAACCGATTAATCCCGTAACAGGCCGTTTTTGTTTCATTTTGGTTTTTTTCTGGTCTGTAAGTCAATTCTCAGGCTGCAAGTCAAACCTAAATTTTGTGGCCAGAGAAGTCTGTAACTCAAAAAGTCTGTAAGTCAAGCCATCTGTAAGTCAAGGGTCCACTGTATAAGTTAAGAAATCTCCATAGGCATTAACTCAACATGCCTACGGACATTCTTTAGTTTATGTCACTTCATTCTAAGAGTTACGTGTTTATATAAACTATGCAACAGGATTTTAGCCATTGCCTCACTTTGGAAACATACTTAGATGGACTGAGGGAGCCTCTGTGTGGAAGCCTATACAGGAATCAGAATTCACACCTCTCCTATTACCACCTCACCCATGAAGTATACAGCTCAGTAAAGGCTCTGACCCCCCAAACCATGTTTTGTTAAGCAACAAACAAAATAAGGCAAGGAGCAGTCATTCTGGATTCTGTCACACTGACAAATTGAAGGGAGTCAAATATGTTGGAGTTTTGTTTGCAGCCTTGCATGTTGTCTGTGGTTTCTGTGACTAGGACGGATTTTTCTGGGCTGGGATGATTGTCTTGTCTGTCTATCCAACACTAATCAATTGCTCCTTCCAGACTTTAGTTTCAAAGAGTTCCATTGGTTGCTAAATACTTGTGCAGTAAAGAAAGCAATAAAGTCTCTAATTTCAAGCAACTGTAAGTCTGTACTCCATAGGCAAAAATGATGAAATGGAGGCTGTCCTCCTTTGGGTACATCGTGAGAAGTCAGGATTCTCTGGAAATGACAACAATGCTAGGAAAGATGGAAGGCAGCAGGAAAAGAGGAAGACCAAATACAAGATGGACTGACTCCCCAAAAGAACCCACAGGCTTGAGCTGAGCAGGCAGTTGAGGACAGGACATTTCAGAGATCACTAATTTATAGGATTTATAAGGTCATCATCTCAGAGGAAACTTGACAGCATTGAGGACAGGACATTTCAGAGATCACTCATTTATAGGGTTTATAAGGTCATCATGTCAGAGGAAACTTGACAGCATATAACAACAATGGGTAGAAAGGAGTTAGAAAATGGCTGGGCACCTATCTGAATTTCGGAGAGATATCATATCACACAACCTGGGTAAATGCCTGCAAGACTCTCACTGCTGTCCTGTTGGTCACCGTAGGAGCAAAATGCTTGGCTAGGTAGGCCTTAGAAGAGGTAGCTGTGTTACTCTGTGCTAGCATATCGGGCATAGAAGAGGTAGCTGTGTTACTCTGCGCTAGCATATCGGGCGAGAACAAAAGAATTTTTTTAAAAAAATTAAAAAGACAAATAAGTTGTGGTACTTTAAAGACTAACTGCTATACTGTATTTATTATGTGTGCTTCTGTGGATCAAGACCACTTCCTCAAACATAAGTGTGCAGTTACATGGCAATATTTAAGAAACAAAAAACAAAAACTCATTTTAGAAGCCAGTTATGAGATAAGCTCTGCTGACCATACAGGAACTTAAGTATAGAGATGTGGTATCAGAGGATGTGCACCTCCCAATTCATCTACTGTGCCTCCTAGACGGAGAACACATTAACACATTAATATATTATTATATATATTCATGCCAATGTTTCCCAACCTGGGGGTCATGAATTGTTTTCTGGGGCCTTACAGGTCATCTCTGTATGTGTTGTAGTCCTAATGTAACAATTTCTTCCTTGAACTTCCACAATGAGATACAGTACTATAAAAGGAGGTCACCATCCATTCATGCTATTTTTAAAAACGAAATCTGTCACAATTCGGTACAAAGCTGAATCATCATCATCATCATCATCATCATCACCATCATCACCATCATCACCATCATCATCCAACTCACATCATTTTTTTGAAAGTGATGGATCATCTTTTCGACTTCTAGCTCTCCTGCATGGGCAGGGGGGTTGCACTACACGACCCATGAGGCACCCTCCGCTTGGTGAAGCGACAAGGGGAGCGCCCGGCTAGCCCCGCGCCCCTCCCCTCCTGGATCCCGGCTGCCACTGGGTCACCGGCCTGGGCATATTTGCATATTTATTTATTTTTTTACCTTT